GCTGTTAATGATAATGCAGAGGATTTTCCCAAGGTTGCTGTTGACGCATATCCCATGGTAGTTATTGGGGTCAAATTTGTCTCCACTTTTGTGGATTGGGGTGATCAGTCCTTGGTTCCAAATATTGGGGAAGATGCCAGAGCTAAGGATGATGTTAAAGAGTTTAAGTATAGCTAATTGAAATGTGTGGTCTGTATATTTTATCATTTCATTGAGGATACCATCAACACCACAGGCCTTTTTGGGTTGGAGGGTTTGTATTTTGTCCTGTAGTTCATTCAATGTAATTGGAGAATCCAGTGGGTTCTGGTAGTCTTTAATAGTTGATTCTAAGATTTGCATTTGATCATGTATATTTTTTTGCTGTTTGTTCTCTGTTATAGGGCCAAAAAGGTTGGAGAAGTGGTTTACCCATACATCTCCGTTTTGGATAGATAGCTCTTCGTGTTGTTGTTTGTTTAGTGTTTTCCAATTTTCCCAGAAGTGGTTAGAGTCTATGGATTCTTCAATTACATTGAGCTGATTTCTGACATGCTGTTCCTTCTTTTTCCGTAGTGTATTTCTGTATTGTTTTAGTGATTCACCTGTGTGCGCATCTTGCTAGCTGTCACACAAATGGCGAAGGGCTGAAGCTCATTGGCTAGGACCAGTCCTTGACTTGGGCAGGAGCTCACCGGAGCGGAGTACCGGCACCTCAAATGTTCTACTGCTTGAGCTCCTGCACCTCTTATTAGCTCAACAGTATTGTGGAGCTCCTGCACATAAATATAAACAAAACAGGTACCCAAAATGAGTACCAGCACCTATTTCAGTCCAAGTCAAGCACTGGCTATAACTCAAATTGCTAGGGGGCTGGCCCACGTGGGGGAAAATTTAGGGAAAATGGCGCAGCACAGCTTCCAGGAAAAATAGTTGATTTCAAACTAGGGATTTCGTGGCTAATTGAGGTAAGATTCATTCTGCATGTATGAACTACATATTGACACATCCGGCCCAAAGCGGAAGGTTTAAAAAATACTTAGTAGTCGCCAAAGTTCTGGAGCATGTCTTTCCAAACTGACTGTGACTACAGGGCAAAACAGATTTTAAAAAAGGCATGGCAAAAGGCTCAAGTATTAAAGGTTTAAGACTTGCTGCCACTCTAATCTGTCCCCTATACATTTTACATTGATGGGGCACTACTACCACATATAGCCTCCTATAAGACACGCCTCAAAATATGTTAATGAGACAGAAACAACAATACCACTAGTGGTCAAAACATTTTCGGCACTCCAAAAATACAGTATAGTTGTCACGTTCGTTGAAGGACGGGTCAGACCAAGGCGCAGCGTGAAATGCATACATGAACAAAACAACGTAACATGAAGTCCTCAGGCTGAACACAATACAAGCCTATACACGGAACAAGATCCCACAACTAATGATAACAAACAGGCTACTAAAGTATGATCCCCAATCAGAGACAACGAGCGACAGCTGCCTCTGATTGGGAATCACATCCGGCCAAACATAGAAACACAAAACCTAGAATGAGAACATAGAAATAATAACATAGATCTCCACACCCTGACTCAACATACAAGAGTCCCATAAGTCAGGGCGTGACAATAGTACTGTATTCTGTGGATTGGAATAACAGTACCATTCGAAATACAGCAATTATTTTCCCTGCCCACAAAATCTTCCCACAATGCACCATAATTGGCAGCATGCTGCAGTAAAACTTTCACAGTATCTTACTGTTGATAATACCCTACATGACTGTATAAATGATAGTTTTCTGTTAGTGTGGTGCAGAGCCTATGAGCCGAGTTGTGGTTGGAAATCCCATTCATCCCTCACTCATGGAGCGGTGCTTGCCCACGGCTCTGTGCTCCATGTCCTTTCCCACCCTCTGCTAAAAACCGCTCTGCTCTCACAGAAGAAAAAAAACTGCAGCTCCAAATTCGCTCCATTCAACCAACACCCATCTATTTTTGTGAATACCTGGACCTACCAATTGGTTTTGAAGTATTGAAACCAAACCATATGGCTTTGAATGAAAAGTATGTAAGAAGCACACATAATTTCAAATAGGCTACATGTCATATTAAACAGCATATAAACACTCTAAATAGGTCAGGAGCCAGACAGGGAGTCTAAGAAGGCACGAAAATGAATTACTTAGTCTATATTATTTCAAGGCTATAGCCTACAAAGAAATACATTGTGAAGCATTTGCGAGTGCGACACAGTAGGCTGGTAGGGACATAAAGTGTTCAGCATTTAAACAACATGTCATTGTATTAAATCATGATATAGTCTATAAATTGCGCATAAAGGCCGTGACCTCCCTAAAATGAAATACAAATTAAATTTAAAATGACTTATTAGTGCCTTTGAATTCAATTTTAGAAACATGAGTTTGGCCAGTGTGGCTTCAGGCTAATGCAATGGTGCCTGGAGAGCAGGCCAGCAGCGGATAATACCCTCTCCACAGCTACTGGGGATGCTAAACACCCTTTTGGCCCCTCTTGCCAGGCTGGGAAGAGATGCAGTTTTTAATTTTAATTTTTATATAAAGGTAGGCCTAAAGGTTTTTAGGCAAAATAACCCAATCAAAACTGAAAGCTCCTTGAACGTGGGAATATGCCAGGCCTATTGGGCCAAAATCAATTATGGCCTATTGTACAGATAATATAACAAAACGTTTAAGAGATCTGATTTTTAGTTTATAAATACTTTGCTACCCACCTCGTTCCTTTCTTTTAGCATGTGCACGTAATAAGTACACCATCATGCTTTTGGGATACGTTTCTTTTCAGATTCCACAATGATTCTTTAGTTGTGGACACTACATCACCACACTCCCTCTCTTGCTTGAGTGTTTTATTAGTTTCTTTATGAAAATATTTAGCATAGTAGATGACAGTAGCTAAAGGATGGGGCTATAGCAGCACACAAGTAGACTACAAATGCATGCTGGGCCGGGCATGCCCTGAGAGCGTTAAGTGAGTACTACTGGTCCTCTGTAGCTCAGCTGGTAGAGCACGGCGCTTGTAACGCCAAGGTAGTGGGTTCGATCCCCGGGACCACCCATACACAAAAATGTATGCACGCATGACTGTAAGTCGCTTTGGATAAAAGCGTCTGCTAAATGGCATATTATTATTTACTGGTGCGAAATTGCAGCGGGCTAGAAGGCTGACGCTCCAGCCTTTGGGAATCTCGCTCCACGCTCCAGTCAAATTGGGCACGCTCCACTCCAGCTCCGCTCACATACTATAGTGTGGCGATAGCAATGCACAACATCGCCAGCTCCTGGACGCATTTACCCGCCAGATTCAGCAGCTTGACAAACCCCAAAAAGCATGGAAACCCGATTAGATTTTTGCCCCCAAAAAACAGGTTTGTTAATTATTTTATTTGTTAGCAAAATTATTTTATGATTATTTTTCGTTTTAGTTACATTTCAATAATAATATTAATTTGGCAGGTGCTTATATTTGTCCTATTTCACACATATACAAGTGTGTAATAATACGCATGTGTGAATTGGAAATGTGTTTCTTTGCATATCCCACTCTCCCCTGAGACACCCTCAGAGAGTGGGGTCACAGCCAGGGCCTGCCCTTATCAACGGCGACCCTGGAGCAATTAGGGTTAAGTCCCTTTCTCAAGGGCACATCAATCGTTTTTTTTTTTTTTTTTGTCATTTAGCAGATGCTCTTATCCAGAGCGACTTACAGGAGCAATTAGGGTTAAGTGCCTTGCTCAAGGGCACATCGACAGATGTTTTCACCTAGTCGGCTCGGGGATTAGAACTAGCAACCGTTCGGTAGTTTCAGTTTACTGAATAACCTTCACACACACCCCCTCCCATCAAAGCACCACAATAGACCCGGAGGCATTTCATTACAAAATGTTCTTTTTTATTTACATATCAAGGAATACATCAATGACCAAAGAAGGAGAAAGAGGGAAGGAAAGAATATGTTGGTTAAGAAACAGTATAATAATAATAATAATAATAATAATAATAATAATTCATGTTCAGATGTGGTTGCGATGATTTAACACAGTCACACTACAGACTGAACCGACACACTGGGAAGGAATCATCAGTCCAGTGTCCCTCAGTCAGTCACTTACAATGATACACTATTACAAACTAGCATGTCCTGGGATAAACACAACAAAAGCATGCTAAAGAATCAAAATGGGGTTTTACAGTCTTCTGAAAACAAAAACTGTGGTTCTGGAAGAGGGTTGTACACACACACACACACAACTATTCTCTCTGTCTTTTTAACATCTGGGTCCTGTTCATAGGCGCACACAACGTTTTTACAGTTTCTTATTGGACAAGAGCAAAAACTCGCTCCCTGTTTCAGTCCATTTTCTTCCATTTGGTACCTAGTGAACAGGACCCAGGGGCCTGACTACAGGAGGCCGGGGCTGCCTTGCTTCTGGTTTTCTTTGGAAGAAGAGATGATAACAACAAGAGTCAATGAAATGATGAGATCTAGAAACGCTAGATGTAACTCGGGCTCTTCTGTAAGCTATTGGTCTTGAACAGAGTGACTTTGGGGGGGGTCAACACCATAGAAATATAATTACTAGAACGGACATTCCCATTCAAGTCAATGTTCTGTGATGGGTGGATTGGCGGCCATTCGTTCTATTTCTATGGTCACCACTGTTCTGTCTGGAAGTGTCTGGAAGCTCAACCCTAGACTCGAGCCTATCGCTCGAGGACTCGACACCACCAACTCTTTTTGATATCATCATAATGGTAGTACACACCTTGCGCAATAGTGCAAACGCTCAAATGGGTCTGATGAGAATATTGAATGGTCTTTGACACTCCTTTGTCCCCATAGCACATGGACACTGTCCCCTTTTTTGACACACTAACCAACTATGGAAACATAGGTTAAGTAACACGTACCAAATGGCACCCTTTCATGGCGCACTACTTTTGACTAGGGTCCATAGAAAGTAGGGCACTATATAGGGAATAGGGTGCCATTTGGGACACACACATACTCCCCATTGGACCCCAAGCCTCTGCCAATGCTACACAATGAGGGTGGAAAGTAATAATTATCACACGGCCAATGGAAAATACTGATCAACAGAACAAATCTCATTCAGATTATAAATACACTTTAAAATATATACACAGCAACAACAATAAAGAAAAAAATATGAAAAGAAAAAGCCACAATATTATTTAACTAATCAAATACAGCCCCTCTGGGCCAGTGCAGATAAAAAGACACGAGAGAGATGCAACATTTCAGATCGTCACAGATAGAAACACAATGTATAGATCTGTCATGGTCCTCTTTTCAACATGATAGAGAAACCTGTCTGCTCTACATGATACATTTCTATTTTTTCTGAAACGTTGTGCTCCTCAAAAACCCAGTCTGTCCCAACACGGCTTGCTCCTCCCACCCATGATGACATCACATCGCAGCCAATCAGACGGACAGCCACTCTCTAAACACACCAATAACAACAGAGTGCTTCGCTTTGTAAGGTGCATCGCCCAATCAAAACATGGGGCTAGTAGTGTATAACTGCATGTAAAAACCTTTCCCCTTGTCTCTCTCCCACTCACACATGCACACACACACACACGATTCCAGGCGTCACACCTTCACAGTCCTGCAGAGGGCGCCACAACCCCACCTAGCGGACAAACTCCGCCACTACAGTGCATTTCACACAGGGTAATAGAAAAGAAACAGAAATATGAACCTATATATTCTGGTGAGGATGACTAGGTTACATGACAGATCATGTCAACACTGTCAATGGCAACACTTTATTGGGGTGAAGGAGAGGTGAGGTCCTCCCCTGCTAAACTGTCAGTCTGCGAGCTGTCTACTGTAATGATAGGTGAATCAGGGATAAGGGGTGATATGAAACCGACGGCAGGTAACTGTCAAGTATGTTTATTTGTCTGTCTGTCTGTCTGATATGATTCTCAGTGTCTAGGCAGACTGTCTGTATGTCTGTTCGTCAGCTGCAGGCCAAATGCCAAAAACCGCCTTCATCCATTTGTGTGTGTGTGTGTGTGTGGGGGGGGAGCTGGTCTCTCTGTCTCGCTCTGTATAGTCTAGGCAGAGGTGACAGTGGTGCCGCTGCCCAGCTTAATGATCATCTGCTGGCAGTCGTGGAGGGTACGCTTGTCCCCCAGCTTCTCCAGGGTACGGGCTGCGTCAGCAAGCATGCCCACCCGCTGGCCAGGTGCCGACAGGAAGGAGGGGGGCAGGTAGCGACACGCCAACATCACCGCCTCAGCCTGCTCCCTCTGGCCAGGACGCATCTCACACTCCTCTGTAGAATCACACACACACAGAGAGAGAGAGAGAGGAGAGAGGTGAGTCGTGGGGGATACAGAGAGGGATATTACACAGATAACTACACTCATATCGCATCCATGTCCCTTTCGACCTCGTTATGAAAGCTTAAAAATGGCACACAAAACACACGGATCTTCCAACCTTTCTCACACACAAACAAACTACCAAAAACCCTCTCTGCAGTTACCTGTCTTGGCTCCGGGGGTGGCTCTGCGTCTGAGCGAGCGGTCCAGGAGCTGGTGTGTTCGCGTGGGACTGGCCCCAGCCATCAGCCTGGCGGTCGCCTCATGAAGAAACAACTGAGAGGGAAGAGGGAGGAAAGTGGGAGGAGAGAGAGAGAAAAGCATTTAATGAGTGATAGGTCAGAAATAGCTCTGCTCTACCCGATTGAGTCTCTCTCTCGCAATTCAATTTCAATGTAAGGGCTTTATTGGCATGGGAAACATATGTTAACATTGCCAAAGCAAGTGAAGTAGATAATAACCAAAAGTGAAATAAACAATACAAATTAACAGTAAACATTACACTAACAAAAGTTCCAAAAGAATAAAGACATTTCAAATGTCATATTATGTGCAAATAGTTAAAGTACAAAAGGGAAAATAAATCAACATAAATATGGGTTGTATTTACAATGGTGTTTGTTCTTCACTGGTTGCCCTTTTCTTGCGGCAACAGGTCACAAATTTTGCTGCTGTAATGGCACACTGTGGTATTTCACACAATAGATATGGGAGTTTATCAAAATTGGGTTTGTTTTTGAATTCTTTGTGGATCGCTGTAATCTGAGGGAAATATGTGTCTCTAATATGGTCATACATTTGGCAGGATGTTAGGAAGTGCAGCTCAGTTTCCACCTCATTTTGTGGGCAGTGTGCACATAGTCTGTCTTCTCTTGAGAGCCAGGTCTGCCTACGGCTGTGTCAAGTAATTATCTTTTAGTTTTCTCATGATTTGGTTGGGTCTAATTGTGTTGCTGTCCTGGGGCTCTGTTTGTGTTTGTGAACAGAGCCCCAGGACCAGCTTGCTTAGGGGACTCTTCTCCAGGTTCATCTCTCTGTAGGTGATCTCTCTCTCTCTCTCAACCCGTGTGTCTATGCGTCCATACACGTGTGCGCCCGTGTCTACATGTGCATGTCTCCCTCCATGTCCTACCCTGCGCATGGCAGGCCTGAAGCTCTGGGCCAGCTTCCTGAGGGAGGAGAGGTCCTGCTGGAAGCCGTGCAGCTCGGCCGGGGAGGCCTGCAAGGAGAGACCCCCGGGATTGGAGCTCTGCTGCAGACGCCACACGTTGGTCCGCATCACCAGCAGCAGGTCACACAGCAGCAACTGGACCACCTGGGGGAGGGATGGATGGATAGATGGATGGATGGATAGATGGATAGATGGATAGATGGATAGATGGATAGATGGATAGATGGATAGATGGATAGATGGATAGATGGATAGATGGATAGATGGATAGATGGATAGATGGATAGATGGATAGATGGATGGATGGATGGATGGATGGATGGATGGATGGATAGATGGATGGATAGATGGATGGATAGATGGATAGATGGATGGATGGATAGATGGATAGAGAGAGAGGAGGCAAACCTTATCGTGTGTGCGTATTAAAAATTACATTAGTTTGAAAAGCAGTAACAGGGTGTATTGATGTCTCCTGTCCATTGTGCTGTATGGGGCCCAGCTCTGTGTTGCACTGCAGGAACATTGCACTCAGCTGAGACACACATGCAATGCAACTACAATGCACCACAGCTCTGGCCATAGCTGCTGCGTATGTGTGTGTGTACGTGTATGTGTGTGTGTATGTGTGTACCTTGTCTAGGCTGCTGCTGTGACAGTGTGGTCCCAGGTTGAGGCTGTCTCTCAGCAGGCCGCTGGCCTTCTCACTGTGGCTCAGACTCAGTTGGCAGTTCTCTGGTTTGGTCAGCATGGCGCGCACCGCTCGGAACGTGTTCAAAGACGCCTTGGGCAACGGACTCCTGAGGACACATGAAAAACCCTGTTGAGAAAGGTGGTGGAGAAGAACTGGGGAAGTGTGTGTGTGTGTGGGGGGGGGGGAGTTGTCTGGGTACAGTCCCTCAGCTGTGTGTGTGTGGGTGTGTGTGTGTGTGTGTGTACTCACTCTGCCGTCTGTAGACTACGGGGCAGGTGCTCGGCGGCGGGATACAGTCTCTCGGCCGCTGCGTCATCTCCTTGGAGCCAGTTAATGATCACCACGGCAACCGACGACCACCATTTGGAATGAGGGTCACAGCCTGGAGGTCACAGACAAGGTTTACACACACACACACACAGAGAGATATATGTCAATAAAGAAAGTACACACAGACAGACAGGTTATTATTTTGATAGTTCCTATAGCTGATCTAGAGATACAAAATATAAACTGTAACTCTGTTGATACACAACAGCTAGCTGGGGTTAAGTTTAGGGTTAAGTTTAGAATTACTGCTAGGTTTAGGGTTCGGGCTAGGGTTAAGTTTAGGGTTATGGTTAGGGTTAAGTTTTGGGTTAGGGTTAAATTTAGGTTCAAGGTTAGAGGATAGTTAGTTGACATGATGTTGACAGTTATTGAACATCTACAAACGATCTATTTGGGACTATCCAAATAAAGTGTTAGCGACAGACATGCTGAAACACAGAAACTATCCCTCTCTTATCTCTCTCCCCCTCACTCTCTCCATTTCACACATGAGCAAATCCAGGTGCTGGTGATGATGACCTGAGTTTCAATCTGTTCCCCCTCTGGCGTGGTCACAACCTGCTAATACTGCAGCTATACTGATAGCCACATCTCTCCAAGGGAGATTACCTCCACTGGTTAACATTGGGCCAACACACACGCATCTTCATCAAATCAGATGGCTTATTCATCACAAAACCATTTGATGTTGCCATTTAATTTAATGATTACTTCATTGGCAAAGTGGGCAAACTTAGGCAGGAAATGCCAACAACGAACAGTGAGCCATCGTACTCATGCATGAAAAAAAAATATGAAAGAAAATTTGTAAAGTTTGTGTGAGAGAGGTGGAAATCTAATTGTAATCGATCAGTAATGACAAACCTCCTGGCATTGACAACTTAGATGGAAAGCTACTGAGGATGGTAGCTGACTTTATAGCCACTCCTATCTGTCATATCTTTAATCTGAGTCTAGAGGAAAGCCTTTGTCCACATGCCTGGAGGGAAGCCAAAGTCATTCCACTACCCAAGAGTGGTAAAGCAGCCTTTACTGGTTCTAACAGCAGACCTATCAGCTTGCTGACAGCTCTTAGCAAACTGTTAGAAATTTTTTTTGACCAAATACAATGCTAGTTCTCTGTAAACAAATTAACAAAAGACTTTCAGCATGCTTATAGAAAATGGCACTCAACATGTACTGCACTGACGCAAATGACTGATTATTGGTTGAAATAAATTGATAATAAGAAGATTGTGGGAGCTGTACTGTTAGATTTCAGTGCAGCCTTTGATATTATAGACCATAACCAGCTGTTGAGAAAACGTATGTGTTATGGCTTTTCACTCTCTGCCATATCATGGATTCAGAGTTATCTATCTAATATAACTCAGAGGGTTTTCTTTAATGGAAGTTTCTCTAATGTCAAACATGTAAAGTGTGGTGTACCGCAGGGCAGCTCTCTAGGAAGCCTACTATTTTCTATTTTTACCAATGACCAGCCACTGGCATCAAACAAAGCATGTGTGTCCATGTATGCTGATGATTCAACCATATACGCATCAGCAACCACTGCTAATAAAGTCACTGAAACCCTTAACAAAGAGTTGCAGTCGGTTTTGGAATGGGTGGCCAGTCTCCAAAACTAAGAGCATTGTATTTGGTACAAATCATTAACTAAGTTCTAGATCACAGCTGAATCTGGTAATGAATGGTGTGGCTGTTGAACAAGTTGAGGAGACTAAATTACTTGGTGTTACCTTGGATTGTAAACTGTCATGGTAAAAACATACAGATTCAATGGTTGTAAAGATGGGGAGAGGTCTATCCATAATAAAGAGATGTCTGCTTTTTTGACACCACATTCCACAAAGCAAGTCCTGCAGGCTCTAGTTTTATCTTATCTTGATTATTGTCCAGTCATATGGTCAAGTGCTGCAAAGAAATACCTAGTTGCCATTGGCGTCAGCTAATGGCGATCCTAATAAATCAAATCAAATGCGCACTCACACACACAGACAGCTATGCTGACTGGGAAATCTAACACCACACCAAGAAAAGAAAGTCTATTAGTACTTCAAAGGGAGTAGGAGACTTGACAGGACTGGAAGATAAAATTGAGCGCTGCAGAGGACAACGCTCTTTATCATCTCTAGCGAAAGGAGCGAGGAGGAGGGAGGTGTAAAGGAGGAGAAAGGGGTGGTGAAGGAGCAGAGAGAGAGAGAGGTGGTGAAAGGAGAGAGAGAGAGAGGGAGGTGGTGAAAGGAGCGAGAGAGAGCGAGTGTGTGAAAGGAGGAGAGAGAGGAGGTGTGTGAAAGGAGCGAAGAGGTGTGAGGTTGAAAGGAGCGAGAAGAGGAAGAGGGAGGTGGTGGAAAGGAGGGAGAAGGAAGAGGAGGGGGAAGAGGAGGAGAGGAGGGGGGAAAGGAGGGAGAGGAGAGAGAGAGGGGTGAAAGGAGAGAGGAGAGGAGGGGAGGATGGTGTGAAAGGACGAGAGAGAGGGAGGGAGAAGGAGAGGAGGGAGGGGGAGGGATGTGAAAGGAGCGAGAGAGAGAGGGGGAGGGAGGAAAGGGAGGAGGGAGGGAGTGTGAAAAGAGATGTGAAGGAGCGAGAGGACGAGAAGAGGGGTGGTGTGTGAATGATGAAGGAGCGAAGAGAGAGAGAGAGGTGGTGGGGAAAGGAGAGGAGAGAGAGGAGAGAGGGTGAAGGAGCGAGAGAGAGAGCGAGGGAGGTGGTGAAAGGAGAGAAAGGAGAGAGAGAGGAGGGAGGTGGTGAAAGGAGAGAGAGAGGGAGGTGGTGAAAGGAGCGAGAGAGAAGTGGTGAAATGAGCGAGAGAGCGAGAGAGAGAAGTGGTGAAATGAGCGAGAGAGAGAAGTGGTGATAATGCACCTGCTTGAACTCGTTACCTGTAATAAAAAAGACCACCTGGTTCCACAACGCAATCAAACAGACCCCCAACCTCTACCACATGTGGGCCCCAAGACCAGAGAGCTGTGTAAGGCATCAGGGATATAAAAATTGTAGACCTGCACAAGGCCGGGGACGGCTACAGGACAATAGGGACAAGCAGCTTGGTGATAACGGCCCAACAATTCTGGCGCAATTATTAGAAAAATGGAAGAAGTTCAAGATGACAGTCCAATCACCCTTGGTCTGGGGCTCCATGCAAGATCTCACCTCGTGGGGCATCAATGATCATGAGGAAGGTGAGGGATCAGCCCAGAACTACACGGCAGGACCTGGTCAATGATCTGAAGAGAGCTAGGACCACAGTCTCAAAGAAAACCATTAGTAACACACTACGCCGTCATGGATTAAAATCCTGCAGCGCACGCAAGATCCCCCTGCTCAAGCCAGCGCATGTCCAGGCCCGTCTGAAGTTTGCCAATGACCATCTGGATGATCCAGAGGAGGAATGGGAGAAGGTCATGTGGTCTGATGAGACAAAAATATAGCTTTTTGGTCTAAACTCCACTCGCCGTGTTTGGAGGAAGAAGAAGGATGAGTACAACCCCAAGAACACCATCCCAACCGTGAAGCATGGAAGTGGAAACATCATTCTTTGGGGATGCTTTTCTGCAAAGGGGACAGGACGACTGCACCGTATTGAGGGGAGGATGGATGGGGCCATGTATCGCGAGCTCTTGGCCAACAACCTCCTTCCCTCAGTAAGAGCATTGAAGATGGGTCGTGGCTGGGTCTTCCAGCATGACAATGACCCGAAACACACAGCCAGGGCAACTAAGGAGTGGCTCCGTAAGAAGCATCTCAAGGTCCTGGAGTGGCCTAGCCAGTCTCCAGACCTGAACCCAATAGAAAATCTTTGGAGGGAGCTGAAAGTCCGTATTGCCCAGTGACAGCCCCAAAACCTGAAGGATCTGGAGAAGGTCTGTATGGAGGAGTGGGACAAAATCCCTGCTGCAGTGTGTGCAAACCTGGTCAAGACCTACAGGAAACGTATGATCTCTGTAATTGCAAACAAAGGTTTCTGTACCAAATATTAAGTTCTGCTTTTCTGATGTATCAAATACTTATGTCATGCAATAAAATGCAAATTAATTACTTAAAAATCATACAATGTGATTTTCTGGATTTTTGTTTTAGATTCCGTCTCTCACAGTTGAAGTGTACCTATGATAAAAATTACAGACCTCTACATGCTTTGAAGTAGGAAAACCTGCAAAATCAGCAGTGTATCAAATACTTGTTCTCCCCACTGTAAATATAAGACCAGGAGTCGTACCAGTGACGGTAGCCATGTTGGATCCGATGGCGAAGGACTGGGTGGTGGCTCCGGCGGCGTCTGATGCACTAGTCAACAGCTGAAGGTACTCCAGAGCATCTGCATACTCCCTGAGGAACACACACACAGCTTAGTTAGTTAAAAGTATTTAAAAGACTATTAGTACTCCTTGAAAACACACACATAACAGGATCTAGCTTGTTCAAAAAAGGGATTTTAGACAATTTAAGACAAAGGAAGGCCTAAAATATGAATAAATTAATTCAACATTCTGTATTTTACAACTCAATGTTAGATGGTTCTCCACACCCTGAAAGTAGTCTATGGGACTTTTTTTATTTTACAGCGTCAGCTGAAATTCAATGGAATTGATAATTGATTCTCCACACCCTAAAAGTAGTCTATGGGACTTTTTTTATTTTACAGCGTCAGCTGAAATTCAATGGAATTGTGGTCCTCTGTAGCTCAGCTGGTAGAGCACGGCGCTTGTAACGCCAAGGTAGTGGGTTCGATCCCCGGGACCACCCATACACACAAAAAATGTATGCACGCATGACTGTAAGTCGCTTTGGATAAAAGCGTCTGCTAAATGGCATATTATTATAAGAGCAACTTTTAAGACTTCTACAGATAGCCAAATAGTGTTATCAGGTTATGTGTTGCACCTACCCCTCTCCATCACTGGGGGTCTTCTCCCCCCGGGGCTGGGCCACACAGTATAGAGCCTTCTCCAACAGGTGCTCCCTAAAGGCCTGGGTCACCTGGGCCAGAGGGTCCACTAAGGAGAAAAAGAGAAAATAATTAGGGTTGAGGTTAGCATAGTCATGTCAACCAATTTAGACAATGAAAACATGTGTTGCCCATATTGCTTTCGTCATAACCAGTTTCCATGACAGATGTCCATTGACAGAGAGGCTCTGGTCAATAGCAGTACACTATAAACCAGGGGAAAAAGGTGCCAATTGGGACGCAGCCACCGTGTGGTGTGTGTGGTGTGTCTACAGTACTGACCGGTGTTCCCTGCCTGGCTGTAGATGCTATCTTTGGGTGTGCTGCGGACGGCCCAGTCCCCGTCCACAAAGAAGCGGTGGCCCAGAGGGTGACAGAGCCACTGCATGGCCGGGGGGACACTGCCACTGGAGGAGAGACACGCCTGGCGGGCGCTGCTCAGGAACACACGCTAGGGATGGAGAGAGACATGGAGATACAGGAGTGAGTACAGAGGCAGGCAGGCAGACAGACACACACACGATACACTGAGCAACAAATCACACATTATAGTCAGTCAGTCTCTCCCGCTGCCTCTTCCCTGCTCTCTACATCTACCCCTCTCTCCATCTCTCCATCTAACCCTCTCTCCATCTCCCCCCCTCTCTCTCTCTCTCACAAACAAACACACCACTTGATAACGTAACTCTGTGACTCACGGAGGAGAAGTGAAGGAGTCTGGGTAGGCTGGCTTTGACTCGTAGGGCTGCGGAGACGTAGACCTCTCCTAACGTGGCCACGGGGAGACAGGAGCCTGAACACTCTGCTAGGTTTACAGCACTCAGAGCCATGTGAACGGCAGACAGGTGGCTACCGCCCAGCTTACCTGCAAACACACACACGTTGATTATAGACAGCTTGGCTGAACAAACACAGAAAACACCTATCCACTCCTCTAAGGTCTACACAAAGTGCGTAGGAGTAGGGAGCTAGTGGATAATTCTGTATTGGACAGTAGTACTGAAGAGGAGAGAATTTGCCTACTGTGTGATTTTGAAATCGAAATCCTTTGTGTTTAATAGCCCTCTGTATGACGATCTGAGACATGTTGGTGATAACCCTGAGGTATTCTGGTTACGGGATGAGCAGAGGCTTAAATTCTGTTTCAGACTGGGAATGTTTGAGATTGCTCAGTTTGTTCACAATGCCTGGAGGAGAAGGAGACATTTACTGGTTGTGTAGTGTGGCTATATGGTAGCTGGTGGTGTAGTGTGGCTAAATGGTGGTGTAGTGTGGCTAGATGGTGGTGTAGTGTGGCTAGATGGTGGTGTAGTGTGGCTAGATGGTGGTGTAGTGTGGCTAGATGGTGGTGTAGTGTGGCTAGATGGTGGTGTAGTGTGGCTAGATGGTGGTGTAGTGTGGCTAGAGTGTGTGGTGGTGGTGTAGTGTGGCTAGATGGTGGTGTAGTGTGGCTAGATGGTGGTGTAGTGTGGCTAGATGGTAGCTGGTGGTGTAGTGTGGCTAGATGGTGGTGTAGTGTGGCTAGATGGTGGTGTAGTGTGGCTAGATGGTAGCTGGTGGGTGTAGTGTGGCTAGATGGTAGCTGGTGGTGTAGTGTGGCTAGATGGTAGCTGGTTGTGTAGTGAGGCTAGATGGGAGCTGGTGGTGTAGTGTGGCTAGATGGTAGCTGGTTGTGTAGTGAGGCTAGATGGGGAGATGGTGGTTGGTTGTTGTGTGAGTGTGGCTAGATGGTGGTGAGTTTGTAGTGTGGCTAGATGGTGTGGTGAGATATGAGGTGGTAGACAGAGAATGGGTTGAACGAGAGAGATGGTAACGGTAGGCTAGAGTACTGGTTTGTGGGCTATGAGCCTGGTGATACATGGCCAAGAGTATAGTGGTAGTGAGGCTAGATGGTAGCTGGTGTGTGGTAGTGAGGCTAGATGGTAGCTGGTTGTGTAGTGTGGTAGATGGTAGCTGGTTGTGTAGTGAGGCTAGATGGTTAGAGGCTGTGAGTGTTGTGTAGTGAGGCTAGATGGTAGCTGGTTGTGTAGTGTGGCTAGATGGTAGCTGGTTGTGTAGTGAGATGGTAGCTGGTTGTGTAGTGAGGCTAGATGGTAGCTGGTTGTGTAGTGAGGCTAGATGGTAGCTGGTTGGGTAGTGAGGTAGATGGTTAGCTGGTGTGTGGTGTGAGGCTAGATGGTAGCTGGTTGGTAGTGAGGCTAGATGGTAGCTGGTTGGGTAGTGAGGCTAGATGGTAGCTGGTTGGGTAGTGAGGCTAGATGGTAGCTGGTTGTGTAGTGAGGCTAGATGGTAGCTGGTTGTGTAGTGAGGCTAGATGGTAGCTGGTTGGGTAGTGAGGCTAGATGGTAGCTGGTTGGGTAGTGAGGCTAGATGGTAACTGGTTGTGTAGTGAGGCTAGATGGTAGCTGGTTGTGTAGTGAGGCTAGATGGTAGCTGGTTGTGTAGTGAGGCTAGATGGTAGCTGGTTGTGTAGTGAGGCTAGATGGTAGCTGGTTGTGTAGTGAGGCTAGATGGTAGCTGGTTGTGTAGTGTGGCTAGATGGTAGCTGGTTGTGTAGTGTGGCTAGATGGTAGCTGGTTGGTAGTGAGGCTAGATGGTAGCTGGTTGGTAGTGAGGCTAGATGGTAGCTGGTTGTGTAGTGTGGCTAGATGGTAGCTGGTTGTGTAGTGTGGCTAGATGGTAGCTGGTGGTGTAGTAGTGGGCTGTGGTGAGCTAGATGGTGGGTTGTGAGGGCTAGATGGTAGCTGGTTGGGTAGTGAGGCTAGATGGTAGCTGGTTGGGTAGTGAGGCTAGATGGTAGCTGGTTGGTAGTGAGGCTAGATGGTAGCTGGTTGTGTAGTGGGCTAGATGGTAGCTGGTTGTGTAGTGAGGCTAGATGCTGGTAGTAGATGGTTGTTGTGTAGTGAGGCTAGATGGTAGCTGGTTGTGTAGTGAGGCTAGATGGTAGCTGGTTGTGTAGTGAGATGGTAGCTGGTTGTGTAGTGAGGCTAGATGGTAGCTGGTTGTGTAGTGTGGCTAGATGGTAGCTGGTTGTGTAGTGAGATGGTAGCTGGTTGTGTAGTGTGGCTAGATGGTAGCTGGTTGTGTAGTGAGGCTAGATGGTAGCTGGTTGGGTAGTGAGGCTAGATGGTAGCTGGTTGGGTAGTGAGGCTAGATGGTAGCTGGTTGTGTAGTGAGGCTAGATGGTAGCTGGTTGTGTAGTGAGGCTAGATGGTTAGCTGGTGGTGTGTGGCTAGATGGTAGCTGGTGGTGTGGAGGAGGCTAGATGGGTAACTGTTGTGTAGTGTGGCTAGATGGTAGCTGGTTGTGTAGTGTGGGTAGATGGTAGCTGGTTGGGTAGTGAGCTAGATGGTCGCGGTTGTGTATGTGGTAGATGGTAGCTGGTGTGTAGTGAGGCTAGAATGGTAGCTGGTGGTTGTAGTGAGGCTAGATGTAACTGGTTGTCGTAGTGGTGGAGAGTTGGTTTAGCTGGTTGGGTCCAGGTGGAGAGAGGGTAGCCGGTACTGGCCATGATCATTGTATGTATATAATTTGTAAAATGTTATTTTGTTCTGTAGTGTCTTGTAAGCCCATGTGGGCAGGGCAACAGTAGGTGTATGAACTTAAATACATAATATCAAATCAATCAACCATCTAGTAACCTTGTCTCAGAGTGAGTAGGCAAGGTTTGCCTTAGCATTAAAAGTCCAGTTTACAATTTCCACCTACCAGTCATGTGCAGCTGGTGCAGGCGGTGGTAGACCAGGGCAGCGTCGCGGCTGCTCTTACGCGCGTCCTCCCGGAGCCCCCTGGCGCGGAGCCCCCCGGCCCTGGCAGCCAACCAGCGACCCACCCCCAGGCGCTGGAGGCAGAGGCGGAGCAGGGCCCACAGGGCGGCACAGGCCAGGTCCAACTGAGAGGTGGGTAAGGGACGACCCAGGGCCTTGAGGCAGGTCCATAGGTTCTGACTGGCCTGGGCAAAGTCTCCCTATTTGGGGAGGGAGAGGGGGGTGAGAGTGATGGGGGGGTGAGTATGGAGGGTGGGGGGAAGGGGTGTGTTTGTGTGTGCGTCTTAAGGTCAGTATGTGCTTACGACTGTATGCATATGGTTTTCATCCCAAACGGCACCCCATTCCCTACATACTGCACTAATTTTGAAGGTAGTGCACTATATAGGGAATAGGATGCCATTTGGGACGAAATCACATTCTCCATATTCTCACCCGTGCCAGGTCGAGGTCTGCTTGCTTGCGGTGCCTCCAGAACAGCACGGAGGATCCAGAGTGTGGCCTGGTGACTGGCTCTCCATAGACCAACAGTCTGACCAGAACCCCAGCCACCAGCACACCGTTCAGCAGCCACACCAACAGAGTGGGCAGCATCCAGTCCATCCAGCTCCCACAAGTCAGCTGGGAGGAGAACACAGAGAGAGGATGTTTAGGAGACACCTATACAGAATGAGTTTAGGAGACACCTACACTGAGAGAGGGTGTTTAGGAGACACCTACACACAGAATAGTTTAGGAGACACCTACACACAGAATGAGTTTAGGACACACCCACACAGAATGAGTTTAGAAGACACCTACACACAGAATGAGTTTAGGAGACACCTACACACAGAATGAGTTTAGGAGACACCTACACACAGAATGAGTTTAGGAGACACCTACACACAGAATGAGTTTAGGAGACACCTACACACAGAATGAGTTTAGAAGACACCTACACACAGAATGAGTTAGAAGACACCTACACACACAATGAGTTTAGAAGACACCTACACACAGAATGAGTTTAGGAGACACCTACACACAGAATGAGTTTAGGAGACACCTACACACAGAATGAGTTTAGGAGACACCTACACACAGAATGAGTTTAGAAGACACCTACACACAGAATGAGTTTAGAAGACACCTACACACAGAATGAGTTTAGAAGACACCTACACACAGAATGAGTTTAGGAGACACCTACACACAGAATGAGTTTAGAAGACACCTACACACAGAATGAGTTTAGGAGACACCTACACACAGAATGAGTTTAGGACACACCCACACAGAATGAGTTTAGGACACACCCACACAGAATGAGTTTAGGAGACACCTACACACAGAATGAGTTTAGGAGACACCTACACACAGAATGAGTTTAGGAGACACCTACACACAGAATGAGTTTAGGAGACACCTACACACAGAATGAGTTTAGGAGACACCTACACACAGAATGAGTTTAGGAGACACCTACACACAGAATGAGTTTAGGACACACCTACACACAGAATGAGTTTAGGAGACACCCACACAGAATGAGTTTAGAAGACACCTACACACAGAATGAGTTTAGGAGACACCTACACACAGAATGAGTTTAGGAGACACCTACACACAGAATGAGTTTAGGAGACACCCACACAGAATGAGTTTAGGACACACCCACACAGAATGAGTTTAGGACACACCCACACAGAATGAGTTTAGGACACACCCACACAGAATGAGTTTAGGACACACCCACACAGAATGAGTTTAGGAGACACCTACACTGAGAGAGGGTGTTTAGGAGACACGCACACAAACACAGACACAGAAGAGATGGACTTACTAGAAAATAAACATGGGAGTATTAGATGAACTCACTAGGAGTAAGACACACAGATGCACACCTCCGACACCTTCCCTCTTTCCCTCCATACCTGCGTTGTCTAGGCCCAGCATGTTCCTGCCTGTCCCAGGATGCACTGCGTCGTTGTTAGCGGTGGTGCTGGAGCCCATCCCTCCACACAGCATGGAGGCCAGGGGGTTGAGGGAGAGGAAGAGGAAGGTGAATGTGCACAGCGCCATGCGGGAGCGGTCCAGCATGCCAGCGCCGCCCGGGGTGGACGATGACGTGTCCATCAGATTGACCGCCGGCTGCAGGGGAGAGGACAGGAGAGAAGAGGAGACAACATAAGGAGTCAGGGTTAGAATTAGAACTAGATCAAGAAGTAGAGATGGAACTGGAACTACAATTGTAATCAGGGAGTTAGAACTAAGAACTATAACTTATTATCATATGTTTACTTTACATGATTATTGGAGACACTTGATATCCCTATTGTTAGCCATTGAACAAAACAACGGTTTAGCGTCTCTGTTTTTATTTGTCTCCATCCTTGTTGCTACAGGATGTATGTTGCTAGAGAATTACCAGTTCCTTTCTCAGCGTTCTATTCTAGGGAACTATAGCAGAGAAGTCCAACATCTTTCAAGCTCCTTTCTCCAAGTCATGAGAAGCATTAGTTACAGGTAACATCCAGTATCCTGACTGGCTCCACTCTATGCTTTTTCAGTGAGGTTTCACGTCTCAGGTTGTGAAACCCACCTTGCTGTCCTCCCCCATGGGGCTGTCAGGTTCTGAGTCGCTGCCACAGTGGGAGTAGGAGGTGGGAGAGCCCACGTCGGAGGGTGGAGGGGTGGGCAGCTCGCTCTTCACGTCCGTCTGTGGGCCGTCCACCTCCATGGCAACCAGGTCCTTCAGAGACTCTGGAGAACAGAGAGGAGGAGGGAGAGAGGGGAAGGAGATGGAAGGAGTAAGAGAGAGGAGGAGAGAAAAAAGAGGAGGGATGTAGAGAAAGAAAGGGTCAACCTCAGAATAGTTCCGGCCATCATCATCATACTGTTATGACATCTGTCCCAGGGCCAGGAACTATAAAGTGTCTCAGAGTGCTGATCTAGAATCAGTTTAGCCTTTAAATCATAATGAATACAATTATATGGACAGGGGGAACATGATCCTAGATCAGCCCTCCTTCTCTGAGACGCTTTATGAATACGGACCCAGCTCTTGATTCAAGCACAACCAGCACTAGCCATCAGAAAATGACTGCATTTCACAAAGCACTTCTTTAAGAAATTAAATGACAGAAGCTTTAGCCATGAAGAATCCTTCTTCTTCATAATGAATAACAATAGGATCATGATAAAGGGAGGATGGAGGAGAGGAAAGGGCAGGCAGAAAAGGAGAAGAAGAGCCAGGGCAGGGAGGAGAAGGACCACTCACTGTTCTTCTGGGCAGACATCTTCAGGGCCATGTTCTCTGCTTTTAGTTTCTGGTTGGACTGCTGCAGGTAGCGGATGTAGTCTATTGCCTTCTTCAGAATTGCTGACTTGTTGAGCTGCTTAGCGGATGAAAAAGGTGAATACAAACTTAAAGCAAGATTTTAAGAGCCTCTGATGAACAGTATGCCTTTGAGCTTACTTAGATATAATACTAACACAGCATCTTAATATTGGAATCCACAAACAAAACAGTGGCCGTGTCCCAATACCCATACTAGCGTACTAAACGGTACGCAAAAAATAAATGTAAAAAATACTTTTATAGTATGTACAATTTTGAAAATAGTACTCTGAATGCGTCATCTAATGTGCGATTGTGTTTACTCCTCCCATTCGTTCATTTTGGTACAGCGCGTCAATTTATCTGATCAAAAGCCTAAATGAGTATGCAGTATGTAGTCCGCTAGTATGGGTATTCAGAAACAGCCAGTTACTTTTCTCTGTCAGATGATTCAGTTCTTGAAAGCTCTACTGTATCTTAATGGGAATCTCTTGCTTAAAATGTATGTTGTAAATAATATTTTATAAATGTAATTTAAAAAATCTACGTATATATTTTCAATATTAATACCTTGGCCTCAGTCCCGGCCACCAGATCTTTAAGCTCAATGATCTTGTCGTTGATGGACGAGCGGTAGCGCTTCTCGATGGCGTTGTGGGCGGTGCGCTTCTCGCCCTTGGGGGGCAGGCCCATAGGCTTACTGCTGATTGTGATACGGTTGATGGGCAGCTTGTCAGAGTCCATCATCACTGGCACCGTGGTCAGGAAGGTGCCACCACTCATCAGAGCCTAGAGAGAGGGAGGGGGGAGGTAAGGAGGAAGAAAGAGGGAGGACAGAATGAGAGGGTAGGAGGAGAGAAGTTTTTTCTAAGAAGACGATCACTAAAGTTGCATCTAGATGGGGTGTCAAACTCAATTTGCCCCGGGGGCCGCATTCTGTCTTCAACGAGGTCCAGAGGGCCGCACTGAAAATGGGTTATATTTCATTGCCGTCAAAATTTGCTAAAAATACTCCTCTATCCATCGTTTTTTTGCATTAGTGAGCTGGACAGTCAAGAAACTGTATGAATATAGGTCAATTATCATTTCTACACAGTTCGGATGTGGTTTTGGTCATTTTAAAGTATATTGAGTTTGTTTCCCCCTCAAACAACAGGCAGTATTGTTTGACACCCCTGGTCTAGATTGACACTATGCCCTACATAGCACAATACTTTGCCTTCTTCCACTACCATAAAAATACTTTTGGACAATTTTTCTTCAGGAAAATGACAGTTTCTAGTTGTTGTTATTACTTTATGACATTATTATTCCTATCATCTGGTTCCTATGGTTCCTACCTGTAGTGAGTGGGTGTTCTGGGATGTGGTGGTGGTTCCTACCTGTAGTGAGTGGGCGTTCTGGGATGTGGGGGTGGTTCCTACCTGTAGTGAGTGGGTGTTCTGGGATGTGGGGGTGGTTCCTACCTGTAGTGAGTGGGTGTTCTGGGATGTGGTGGTGGTTCCTACCTGTAGTGAGTGGGTGTTCTGGGATGTGGTGGTGGTTCCTACCTGTAGTGAGTGGGTGTTCTGGGATGTGGTGGTGGTTCCTACCTGTAGTGAGTGAGTGCTCTGGGATGTGGTGGTGGTTCCTACCTGTAGTGAGTGGGTGCTCTGGGATGTGGTGGTGGATCCTACCTTTAGTGAGTGGGTGATGTGGTGGTGGTTCCTACCTGTAGTGAGTGGGTGTTCTGGGATGTGGTGGTGGTTCCTACCTGTAGTGAGTGGGTGTTCTGGGATGTGGTGGTGGTTCATACCTGTAGTGAGTGGGTGTTCTGGGATGTGGTGGTGGTTCCTACCTGTAGTGAGTGGGTGTTCTGGGATGTGGTGGTGGTTCCTACCTGTAGTGAGTAGGTGTTCTGGGATGTGGTGGTGGTTCCTACCTGTAGTGAGTAGGTGCTCTGGGATGTGGTGGTGGTTCCTACCTGTAGTGAGTGGGTGCTCTGGGATGTGGTGGTGGTTCCTACCTGTAGTGAGTGGGTGCTCTGGGATGTGGTGGTGGATCCTACCTTTAGTGAGTGGGTGATGTGGTGGTGGTTCCTACCTGTAGTGAGTGGGTGTTCTGGGATGTGGTGGTGGTTCCTACCTGTAGTGAGTGGGTGTTCTGGGATGTGGTGGTGGTTCATACCTGTAGTGAGTGGGTGTTCTGGGATGTGGTGGTGGTTCCTACCTGTAGTGAGTGGGTGTTCTGGGATGTGGTGGTGGTTCCTACCTGTAGTGAGTAGGTGCTCTGGGATGTGGTGGTGGTTCCTACCTGTAGTGAGTGGGTGCTCTGGGATGTGGTGGTGGTTCCTACCTGTAGTGAGTAGGTGCTCTGGGATGTGGTGGTGGTTCCTACCTGTAGTGAGTGGGTGCTCTGGGGTGTGGTGGTGGCCAGGGAGGTGATACAGGGAGAGGCCACAGTAGTGACCATGCAGGGGTCACGGTTCAGGGTGGTCAGCAGCAGAGACTCAGCCTTGATAAACTGGGGCTGGAGCAACACCTGAGAGGAGAGGGGGAGCGAGCGAGCGAGAGAGAGAGATGAGGGAGCAGTTCCATTGAAATAAATTAGCAATGAAATTTTTTTTGCAATGAAACAAATTAGTCATGAAACAAATACTGCTAAAATAATAGGTTTGAATACAAAGAACAAATCCTTTTTTTCTGGTATGGTGATTTTCTTGGGGTTAATGGGTCTCATCGAACAACACACACACACTCCAGGTGAACAAACTCACTTGTTGAACGTGGTGTGATGCGATGGTCTGAGCAGGGGGGCTTGCTGAGGTGGTCAGGAGGGGGGCAGTGGTGGTCAGAGCCTGGATGGTCATTGGCTGAACGCCGGAAGGGGTCGATGACAGGCTTACCATGGGCTGGGCGGGGCCTCCTTGATGATTGACAGCTAGAAAAATAATCAGGGTCATGTTCATTAGGCACCAAACGGAAGAAAACTGCCTGAAACGGGGAAGGATTACCTAAACTTGTCCAATAAAAGCTCATTTTCGTTTTCCGATTCAAAACGTCCTGCTAGTGTGGACCAAAAATAGTTCAAACACAATTGACCAACTAGCAGTGGAGCTGTAAAAACAAAACACCATATAAACTGTCGTCACCATAAGTCTCTGGCAAGGCCAAAGTTCACATAAATTGCGTGGCTTAGTAGCGTATGACCTTTCACCGCTGGAGAGTGATATCATGATGTGATATAATGGCAGAAGCAGCTATAAGGACACTTGAGTCACCGACCCATAACAGTATGGATTATTATTGTAGGAATTAACTTTGACCTAGAAAACATACGATATGATGACTGTAGCAGGCAGTGTGTGTAACATAATAGCATGTTAGGTGGCTGTAAGGGCATTGGTCCACACAGAGTCAGTAGGTTTGTAATGCTAGGGCATGGTTGCATGGGGCAGAGCTCTTACAGTAGTTTCATAACACTGTCAAAGGGACAATGTTGCACAGGTATGCACGCAAGTGTGTGTGTGTGTATCTGAGTGTGCCTCATAGATAGTGTAGACAAAACACCCTCTCTCAGCCTCAGGGACGGTCCTTCACTCTGACCAAAGGGTCTTAGATTGGGATTTTGACTGACAGTCAGCGGAGGTTGAGTAACCCACTGACTCTCCTTTGGAAACATGCTGTACTACTACTGTTACTGCATCGTAGAACACAACTCTATCTCCTGATAACATAACACCAAGTGTGTTTTCTTCATGGAGTGAGTGTCTGTGCTTTGTATACTAGTGTCCACTATCAGTCCCTACTTTTTGCCCTGAGAGTATGTGTGTGTGAGAGTAGGAGTGTGAGTTGTTCCTCCAGTCATGCTCTGCTCTCATCCAGCCACAACAGTGTGGCTCTGCACCATAAATAAGACAGTCTTAACGACCATGTGGTGATGGTGGTGGTTGTGCTGCTGCTACTACTACTGCTCCTACTACTAGCAGCACATGGTGGGGCTCCCTCCCTCCCATTACCTGGCAGGACTGGGGGGGTGAGTAGGGAGGGGCATGGGGAAACCCCTACAACCATTAAGGAGGAAGATAGCTATGTTTCATCTCCACGTGGAAGGGTTAGGGTGAGTGACTCAGTTTTAAGTTTCCTTGCATCTGTTTGCTCCCTTGGCCTAGAAGACCTTATTTACTGCTATTGTAGACTCTCATCCATCTACTACCAGCATTTCAACTGTTAATACTGAGGAATATAGATTTAATCTGTTCCTCACCTTTGTAGCCATTCTGGGTGCTGTAATTAATCCGGATCTGCTGGGCATGGACCTGGGGCTGGGGCAGCAGCTGAGCCTGGGGCTGCTGCTGCTGGGGTGCAGGAGAGGTGAACAGGGCCTGGGGGGCGGCACTGAACACGGGGCTCTGGCCGGGTACAATGTGGGAGGTAGAGGCTGGGGGAGGAAGCTGGATTGGAACAGGGGCTGGGGGGGAGAGAACCGGCAGGGGCTGGGGCTGGTCCACCTTGGGCTGCCTGAGACCCTGAGCAGCCTGGGCTGACGGAGAGCTTTGCTGGGGTGCTGGCTGCTGCTGCGGCCTGGGTAGTGGTACAGGGGTGGAGGTGGTGACCTGGGCCAGGGGCGACTGCTGGAAGGTGGGGGGGTGGAAGGCCTTGTCTGGGGGGGAGGAACTACGGATGATGGGAGGCCCCAGGAGAGCATCAAGGTGGGGGCTGCTGCTCAGGATGGAGGTGGATGTGGAGGATGGAGGGGAGGGGATGGAGTGGGGCAGGCCGGGGACAGGGAGGTCCTGGGTAGGGGTGACCCCTGTGAACTGAGGGGGGTCAAAGATACCAGCCATGTCCTGGTTGAACTCCACCATGTCCTGGTTGTTGATGAGCTGCAGCATATCTGAGGAGAGATGGAGATATAGTCAGAGTATTCCATAGGTTGAGAGAACCACTGAGACAGAGACCATGAAATTGCCACAGTTGAAGAAATCAGGAGAAGAGGGTCAAATAAGGCAAAGTAGTCTAAATTGAAGACTGTGATTAGTTGTGTGTTAAAGCTGGGCTGGAACAAACATATGTACACACCACACAGCAGACCCTTTTGTCCAATCCATACAGCACTCATTTAGAACATCTTAACAGCATGCCTCCCAATGACCAAACTATGTCTCTGGGCCTCTGAATGGAGCAGAGATAAAACCCTGTAATTCAATTGGAGCGTTTCACTATTGTCAATAAAAGGCTTGTTAAATTAAGACTTGAACCACTGGGAGACGGTGACTGACAGAGCATTTCTCCCATTTCTCTCTCAACACCACATGGTAATGGATCACTGAATCTCTGCCCTAACTCAATTGGAAAACACCAAGAACTGGGCTCATAAAGTGTCTCAGAGTAGGTGCTGATCTAAGATCAGTTTTGATCAGAATGAATCAGATTATCATGGACACAAAAGATCTGATCCTAGATCAGCACTCATACTCTGCACTCACACTACTACTTTGTGGATATGGGCCCTGATCTGAGAAGTAGAGCAGGACAGTAAATGGGGCCAGCTCAGTGCAGTCCTAGTCCTGGTCAGTGGTCAGTAATGCAGTTATTATGTGGCCACTGCAGCAGAGCAGACTGGGTCTATGCCACTCTAATGGGCTCCAGAAGGGAGACAACAAGGGACAACAACCCTGAGTAGGTGAGGATGAAAAGATGCAAGAATTTAGTGTTGATGAAAATCACTGGTGATGTTTACTATGCTATACCCTCCACATGAGCATGGCATGATAGTACTTTACATTATAACATTACATTTAGTAATAGTAACAAGTTAGTTACTCACACTGAAAACATTATTCTCTAACAATAATAATAAAACAGGTCTTGTTTTAGGGTAATACACCGTATAGCATACTTGTTTCATTGGCTAGAGATGCTCACAATTACTGTCTATGAGAAACCTTCATTAGTACAGTGTAGCCTATTCTTCTGGATTTCCAACAGAAATAGGCTAGGCTATCTCAAATGAGTTTCAGGCAGCACAGTGAGGAGGATGTTCCCTGGCAAGGAGAAAGACCATTTAGTTTAATCTTAGACCAAATCATAAAGCTAATAGTCATATATTATAAGGACTGGGTCCAGTAATAAGGGAACACACGTCATGCTTCTGCCTTTGCTTCTGCTCTCTGTCTGCACAGCCACAGCAGCCTGACTAGTCTGGATTTGTAAACCAAGGTTTTGTATGAGGTGATCGCTGCCGACCAATCAGAAAGCGCCTCAGACACTTGCAATGCAGACCAGCCCCAAGACAGAAAGAGAGGAAGCACGTGGTTTCAACGAGAAGGGGTTACTATGGGACAATTCAGTGCTGGGTTACTCTCGGTCAACTTTTAGGGTGGATGGGTGGGATCAATGAAGGGTGAGATGTTGCAGCAGAGCACTTGTTGGCAAACAATCAAGCATTTGACATTTAAGTCATTTAGCAGACGCTCTTATCCAGAACGACTTACAGTTAGTGAGTGCATACAAGCCATTGATTATACTGACAAATAACATTAGCTAATACCACCAACGAATCGAATAACCACTATTCAATTGAATGCATTAATATAACTAGGTTCGATACAATTTAACTAATTAAAACATAAACGGTTAACATTTTAATAAGACTGAAACATGATTAATTCATACATATATAGTGTATATTTGGGCGGGGAAAAAGCAGCCATCAGATCATGTTATAGCCTTACTTCACGCCTCTTGAAATGAACCCGACAGGGAATGCTCGATATTAACCTTATCGTGATGTCAGTAGGACAAGTTGGAGGGGGCGGGGCACATTGTAACTAGCTTCTGTTCCGTTCATCACACCAAACTAGCAGCGAAATATCAGCTCGTGTATAGTATACAAATTATTTTATCTTATCATTAACATACAAAATAGCAGATACAAATGTGTCTAGAATTAGATGAGAACCAAAACGCAAGAACAAAAGCAGCAACAACAGAAAGACAAACACCGAACTCAGACAGTAGCTAGCTAACGTTAGTTCCATAAGGTTAGCTAGGATTCTCCTCGACCCTGAGAAGGAAGCTTTCTCCTATCACATACTGTTTGAGTCAAATATAAACAACTCGTACATCTGATTTGAGGTCATAACTAATGTTAGTTAGCTAACGTGACAGGTAACTGACGGGTAGCTAAGCTGTAAATCAAAATTACTCACTGGGTGCCTATAGTAAGTAGTTAATGGTACCTCACTCAGTTTAACGTTATTTGTGTACAAACTGTTTCATGTGTGTGTTGCTGCTGTAGCTGTCACTTCTTTGGCTAGCTAGCTAACATTCATAACAATATGGATAGTTAGCTAAAACTAGCTAACGTTACCAAGTTGAAGTTGCCAGTTTTGCTAGCTAGCTTGCTAGTAAGCTTAACGTTCTTACCATCAATGTCATTGAGCAGAGCCGTGTCAATATCGCTGGGGTCATTTAGGGATAGGGTTGGATCCAGATTATCCAGTGAATGATCGTCAAAAGACAAGTTCATTTTTGCTGTCTCGTTATGGCTAGCGTTAGCTAACTCACTGTGGCTTAAAACTTGCGATTTCCACTTAAATCGATGTCTGGGTATCTAGCTACATTTGCAATAATGCCAGTGAGATAAACTCCAACTTTGTTATTGATCTGTCAAATAGTGCCTTCTTCTGTCTTCATATTGATGCCCAAGAGGCACACTTGTCACGCTAAACAGTGCTCATTGAGGATCCACATGCTTAGCTAGCTAGTTACAGAGCGCTTAATGAGTGACACTTGTTCTAGCCAATCCCCGACAACCTGTGAATTCCGGCTCCGTCCCTTCACTGTCTCAAGCCTGTTTTGACTGGCAACTCCCAGACAAGATACAATATGTCATTTACATTTGTGCATGGCTATTGTGAAGAGTAAAGAAGCAGTGTTCTTTACTTGGGCTTTCGTGTTCCTTGAAAACTACTATTATGTAGGATGAACACTGTGGGGAAATACATAACAGAAGTTTATAACATTACATTTTTACATTGACATTTTTAGCATACGCTCTTATCCAGAGCAACTTACAGTTAGTGCATACATTTTTCATACTGGCCCCCCGTGGGAAACGAACCCACAACCCTGGCGTTGCAAGCGCCATGCTCTACCAACTGAGCCTCTTCAAGGGGCAAATACATTGATTTAATGTGGAAATATCTTGTCATGTTTTTAATATTTGTTTTGTTTCATGGTCTGCACTTATATAATGCATTAGTAGCGTTTTATAATAGAGAAAATTGTATTTTCCTCTGGAAAAGCAACAGCATGGGTATGTTTATTATGGGCTTGTCCTTAGCAGCCAATCAACGCCAAGCAGGGGTGGGCTAACCACTGTCCAGCTTGTGTGGCCCGTAGTGATGACTCAGCCTGTAGAACCAGAGAAATCGACCAATGGGGAACTCGGAAACCGAGTGGGGTGATCTGACATCACGACTTTGGCTCACGTGGTTACATCATGTATTTCTCCTGGAGTAGTGGAGGGGAAGGGGGAGCAGACTAAATATATAGAGGGACTTATGTACAGTGCTGCTTCAAAACTTTTAGGGCAAGACAAGATTAACAGGGTTGACTTACCAAAGCTCATGGAAGTCCCCATTTGGTTGGACAACGAGATGTAGCATAAAGTCAAAGCAAACAGTGTTATCTTCAAACAATAAATAACACAAAATGTATTATTCAAACCATGGCAATTAAGCAATTAACACAAGTAATGGCTCTCTAGAATGTCCATTGAATAATCAGCAATAATAACCTTGAGTTAATTATCAACAACATCTCCATCCTAGAGAACACAGATATGTGGATTGTAGTAGGACATGTGAGCCATGTGTGAGCTCACCGAAACACAAGCACACACAAAGGGGGCACAACAAAGGCGTGGTAGGGGAAAGAAATGGGTCAACGACCGACAGTAGCACAGCAGCAAACTAGTTGTTGAATAGCAAGCAGTGGAGCAGGAAAGATATAGTATATAGGGGCCCGGCCTGCTGTCAGCAGGACTGCCTTTGTTGATAGTTGTCCTGACTAACATGCTGCTCATTTGAATCTTGCAACACGCCAGGAGATCAGTGTGATGCTCAACAGGCAGCCAAAGGATCAGTCAGTTATCCGCATAGATCCAATAGAGAGTTCTATGGGTGTACAATGTATTCAGTCAGGGAGATCCAGATGGATCTATACTGAACAAAAATATAAAAGCAACATGTAAAGTGTTGGTCCCGTGTTTCATGAGCTGAAAGAAAAGATCCCAGAAAATGTCCATACGCACAAAAAGCTTATTTCTCTCAAATTGTGCACAAATTGTTTACATCCCTGTTTGTGAGCATTTCTCCTTTGCCAAGATAATCCATCCACCTGACAGGTGTGGCATATCAAGATTAAACAGTATGATCATTACACAGGTGCACCTTATGCTGGGGGCAATAAAAGGCCACTCCAAAATGTGCAGTTTTGTCACACAACACAATGCCACAGATGTCTCAAGTTGTGAGGGAGCGTGCATTGGCATGTTGACTGCAGAAATGTCCACCAGAGCTGTTGCCAGATATTTCTCTACCATAAGCCACCTTAACGTCGTTTTAGAGAATTTGGCAGTACGTCCAACCAGCCTCAAAACCGCAGACCAAGTGTAACCACGCCAGCCCAGGACCTCCACATCCGGCTTCTTCACCTGCGGGATGGTCTGAGACTAACCACCTGGACAGCTGATGAAACTGGGTTTGCACAACCAAAGAATTTCTGCACAAACTGTCAGAAACGTCTCAGGGAAGCTCATCTGCGTGCTCGTCGTCCTCACCAGGTTCTTGACCTGACTCCAGCTCGACATTGTAACCGACTTCAGTGGGCAAATGCTCACCTTCGATGGCCACTGGCCCGCTGGAGAAGTGCGCTCTTCACGGATGAATCCTGGTTTCAACTGTACCAGGCAGATGGCAGACAGCGTCGTGTCAATTTATTTTAATTGACTGATTTCCTTATATGAACTGTAACTCAGTAAAATCTTTGAAATTGTTGCATTAATACATCTGGAGTGTCTGCATGGACATCAATAGGAAACAATTACCTTGGCATGGGAGGGTAGGTATAACTATAAGGGGAAAGGGTCAGCGCAGGGGAAACATGCAGTGCTATGAATAACACGGTGCAAGAAGTGAGTCCGTTGCATCACTCAGTGGGCCACTATCCCAGGTTGAACCATGAGCTTGTCTCTGCCTGAATTTACCATGTGTGTTCACTATCATATTTCATATCGTAACTCCATTGCAAGGACAAATGTAATACACACAAACACGAGAAAATAATAAGTGTTGGTAGAGGTCACACGTTGCTAGTGTTTTATTGGTTAATACGTGCATCATCAGGTCACACAATAGAAAGCTGAATCCAAAGTAATGAATGGCAGAACAGCCATAGAACACCCACACCAACATACAGAAGGAGGGACAGGAGTTCTCCTGACCATGTGACCTGACCATTTTGTCTAGACCGGAACATTTCCTGGTCAGGAAAAACAACTGTTCCTAAACAGAACACCGGAGGACACAATTTCCAACTCCACCCTGTCCATACCCAACTAGTTTTGCTGTTGAAATTACGTATTTTCAACCAGTTTTACGGGTAGTGAAGAGATACAGTGGGTTACAATGGTTACAATGTCCAGTAGCTTATTCCTGTTGCAACCCAACAGGTTCACGTTCCATAGCAACCCAACAGATTCACATGATCCATAGCAACCCAACAGGTTCACATGTTCCATTGCGACCCAACAGATTCACATGATCCATAGCAACCCAACAGGTTCACATGTCCCATAGCAACCCGACAGGTTCACGTTCCATTGCAACCCAACAAGTTCACATTCGATAGCAACGGCAACAGATTCACGTTCCATAGCAACTCAACAGGTTCACACAACCATCTGATCGGAGGACAGCCGTAAAAGAGTAAGGTTGCAGTCAGGGCTTTGCATCATCACATTAATCACTGACATAAAGCATATACACAGAACTCTTTCTGGTAAAAAAACAAAAGAAAAAACAAAAAGTAATGCACACACATAGAAATCAACTCTGTAATTGATCAAGTGAGATGTTACATTTCGGTAACAAAGAATCTTAGTTCAAACATCTCTATGCTTTTGTCCATTCTTAAGACATAAGAGGAACAGCAATTCTTGATTGTAAAACGTATGCTACTATTTCATACAGCCTCCTAAGAGGTATAATTAAAGCAATATAAGACCAAATAGGACAAAAATGAAACGGAGTAAAAGCTCATTAATAACAGTTCATTCTGTTACAGTATTCTAAAACACATTCAAACATTAATGCCTAAGACAAATCATTTACTTGTTTGTAATGTCACCCTCTAACATTTATAAATGATTGTTACAAATAATGTTTTATCTGGAAGCGGATCTTTTTAAATAACAGATACAGTAAGGTATTTTCTGACAAATATGACATTTTATTTAAATGAGTCTCATTTACAGTATAATACACGTAACTTTGTTAAGTATATAAGGATATTTGCGAATAAACACAAATAGTTCCTATTGACGTGAAACGTCATGGCGTTTTGTCGTTATTAATTTGGTGTTACTTGTAGAAGCTTTATAAGCATTAACTTTGAAAGGTACTGGCAAAAGAGTTGGAATGAAGAAAGAACCTCTTTTGCCTCAAAGTGTGGTCTATAGCCCATGTCTTCCTGACAACAGGAAATTAATGTTATGCCCTCATCTAACTGCATTACCTATTGTAGGTAAGCAAACTCAAATAGAATGTTAAAATAGGTTAAAGGGGCAGTCCCACTAGCAGAGTCACAGCCCACAGCTACCACCAAATGTAATCCTCAAAAATAAAGACAGGAAGCTTTACCAAACAATTCAGACCACAGTAAAAATACATAAAACACGGTAAAATAACGTTTTTGGTCATCCTTCTGAAGCACATCCAAACCTCTTTCTGTCCCACACATGTATGAGTAAGGAGAGGAGAGCAGGGGCGCTTTCCCCAAAGTAGAAAGGATTTGTGAGGAATTTATTTTCCTGCATGACATTACTGTACATATACAACCAGGAGACCAAACAATACATGAATGAGTTAGCCTTTCGGCTTAGCGACGTACATAAAAGCTATTAATTCGGTTTGACTTTTAAACATGTACTGCAGGTAATACTCACATATTTCTGATGTATATACATATATTTATGTAAACATATGGACACTTTTTTCTTTACAATAACTACATGTATAAGCGTTTGCAATAATTATTTTCTGTCAAGTATGCTACCAATACGCTATCATGAAATTGAAATTTGATTAGATTTTCAGTGCCATATTTCGCCTGTTCTTTTCCTTTAATTTCCATGTCAGGAAAAAGTGTGCTTTTTAAGGGGGGAGAAAAGGCTGTAAAATTTCATAAAAAACCATAAATCAAGCATTAGTCTAAGAAAAAAATGTTTTGTTTTTCCCATAAAAAAAAAGAGTTACCATCTTATTAAACAAGGATATAAAAGGGGGAAAAAAATATTTAGTCGCCCCCAATTGTGCAAGTTCTCCCACTTTAAAAAATGAGAGAGGCCTTAAATTTCACAAGGTCCGTAACTATACGACAAAAAGAGGAAAAAAAATCCCGAAAAACATTGTAGGGTTTTTTATGATTTTTTTTGCAAATTATGGTGGAAAATAAGTATTTGGTCAATACAAAAGTTTCTCAATACTTTGTTATATACCCTTTGTTGGCAATGACACAG